ATACCCGTGCCATGAGTGCTTTGGCATGCAGCAAGTTACTCCAACAGTGGTAGCAGAGGCTGGAGCCAGCACTGGACTGGCCCCAGCAGCCTTACCTGGGGGCCTCCTAGAGCTACAGCAGCAGCGATCCTGCTGGGCACAGCCTTGCTGGCAGCCACAGCATGGCTTCAGGTAGCCTGGTTCTGCTTTTCAGTGGTGTGTGCTGCCCGTGCATGCGCTGCTCCATTTTTTTTCCCATGGTTTTTTTTTAACCCCTGGATATCTAGAGGTCAAACAACTCCATGGAAAATATGCAGGGGTTAAACAAAAAAAGCATGGAAAAAAACCTGGAGCAACGTATGCATGGGCAGCATGCCCTTGTAGCGTGGAGAACACCAGCTGTGTAGTATGTGGTGCTGGAGATGTGTTTGTGGGATCACGCAGCACACAGCTGTGTTCGTCTGGATGTGCCCCAGGTATATAACTGAGGAGTTATGATTCAGTCCAGTGGAAAGCAGGCAGAGAAATGTATATCCCACAAGGCAGCTCATTAGAAGCAGATATAGTGAGGGTAAGCCTAGCTGAAGAAGCCTGAAATGCTGCATTTAAAGTGGAAAATGATAGATTATATTACCTTACATAACAATGAAGATATGTATAGATTCTATGTTGAGTAACTCAATACAAATGTTTTAACTCACTGTTACAGTATTTTAAAAAATCTAAAGTTTCTGAAGTCCGATTAAGTGGCCATGCAAGAATATAAGCACGTTAAGTAGAACAGTAGTTAAATATAATGCTAGGTGGACAGGGTGTTCAAATGTAGTTTTGCTTTGCTTTCACTAATCATGAATGCTTCCTTCTAAATGTGCAGGGGTGGGGGGAGGGGTGAATTAGTATAACAAGCCAGCACCACCACATTATTACTGGATTAAAGTTTATTCCAGAATCAAAACAAAACAGGACATGTCCGGTCTCTTTTCCTCTGGGAGGAGACTGGCTTTGGAACTGCCTGAGCCTGTGTGTTATTCCGTTAGTGGGATGGACTCCAAATCTGCTCTTCCCTGCCCTCATTTGACTCATGCTGGCTTGTCTGACAGTCTGAACACACTGCTGGGGTTCAGCAGAAGTGAGCAGACAAAATCATTCTTGCTTCATTTTTCAAACTGTGATCACTACATTTTTAAGCAGGGAGGGTATTCGGGCTAAATGGCTTTGAGTTTATGTAAATTGCACTAGAGGATTTATAACAGTTCTATCTGAATATGCATTTAACACAATGAAAATATTTTTATTTTATATATCTAAAATACAAACAAAATTGCATAGAAATACACATGCATGCACACACATACTTATTGTTCAATTAAAGCCACTACTTCACCACACAGTGAAAATATGTATGTAGTCTGCTGGTAAATTTTATCTTTTGCTCAGTTTTTTCATTACAGTAAGCTAAAACAATAAAGCTATCAGGCAAAGTCTGCAAAAGTACCTGTTCTTAGCGAACTGACTTGGTCAGCTCTGGAAATAGGGCTTAGATGCTTTTGAGGATATTCCCCCGTGTGCCTCCACACTTGTTAATAACTGCCACCCTCCTGTTGTGACCCTTGTCTTTGCCATCTACTGTTTTATTTTCCACACTCACTGTAATCTTATCTTATGCCTTTAAGAAATAAACTTAACGGTGGGGCTTTATCCAGGTCAGGCTCTTCTGTTAATTGTTTATACAGTAACTATCCCCTTATACAGCAGTCGGCAACTAAAGAGTCATGGCCTGGAGCAACCTGATGTTGGCCTGACGTGGGCTAGTGTCCAACATAGCAATGGTGGTGGCAGCAGTTTTTCTGTGCTACCACTTTCTCCCACACTCAAGCTGTGGCACAGGCACAGATCCTCACAGACAAACCCCCTCATGGGCAAAGCCCACCATTGTTGGCATACTGCTGAAGCCTTTTGGCTGTATACTGATGACCCCTGACCTTACAGATTTTGGGGTGAATGAGGAAAGGGGGAAAGAAGGATGCAACGCTGTTAGAGTAATTTCACTTGTGATTGCAGGTGCCTGTGTACCATCAGTGAAGTGAGCTGGAGAGACAGGCCCACTAGCAACAGCATGAGAAGCTTATATGCCAGACAGTATGCATGCAGGGTCTCATGCAACTCCTAGCATAGTCGATGGGAAGGTTTCAGTGGAAGTTGGGTCAACACAGGGACAGCAAGTGGGTGACTGAATATCCAAGATTTGATCCTGATTGCCCTTTGGGTCCTCCTCCATCTGCCAGCTTCAAGCCCTCCCTTGCCTGTCAGAGGGGAACATGCATTGGATTTCACTGTGACCCCAGGGTGGATCTACTGCTTTTGCAGAGGGCCAGCCTGAGGCTGACACCACTGATGTTGCAGTTAAGCCCTATTTTCAGGACTTGAGGGAACATGAACCTTGTGCCAGTCTTTCTGTACATAGGTCAATTTCACACTCCACAGTAGCACCCCACTGCATGTCCCAACATGCAGGAGCATGCACTTGCACCAGCAAAAAAAGGAGCAGCAAATTTGTGTAGCTATTTTTTGCTGTTGAGCATGCCCCTGCATGTGCGCTTTGATGTGGAGCAAAACGTCCTGCTTTGGGGAAACTGCTATTTCCCCATTTCTCCCAGGCTCCGGTGTGAGCTGGGGCAGAACTAGAGGAGGGGAGATGCTCTGGCTGGCATTCAGGGCATCTCCCCGAAAGACCAAGCCTCCATGTCTGTCAGTGTCTGCTCCTGTGATGTGCGCCACTTGTTTCACAGAGTTTTTGTTTTTGTTCCTGGGATTTCCCATTAGCAAATTTGCCCCCATGCTGCAAATGTGCAGCATGTGGGGTGCGTTTTAATACAGAAGAAGACAGACTGATACACACGCACACTATACCCCCCCAATATGTAATATATACATAGTGTGCACATGTGTACACACACACACACACACACACACACACACACACACACATGCATGTGTGTGATATATATATATACACACTAGCAAAATGCCTGTCATGAATGACGGGGCAGGGAGGGCGGAGTGGGGATGCAGTCCCGCATCCGGCCCTGTGCCTTCCCCCCCCACTGCTCTGTTCCAGCCCCATCCCACCTCCTGCCACCACTCCAGGTCCTGCCCCGCATCTCACTCCTGCTGCTGCACCAGGTCCTGCCCTGCTCCCCACCCCACCCCACCCCACCCCACCCCTTCCTGCACTGTTCTGGGTCATGTCCTGCTCCCCCTGCTGATCTGGTCCAGCCCCGCTCCACCCCCCGCCCTTGCTCTGCATGCGGGGGGGAGGGCATGGCACATGGCTGTGTGGAGCAGGTGGTGTGCAGCTATGGGGTGCGGTGCAGGGAGCAGCCACGGTGCAGGGAGCACTCACTGGCTGCGTGGTGCGGGAAGCAGCCCCAGAGTGCATCTCAGGGCATGTGGAAGTGGGGTGTGGCACACACCGTGGCATGGGGAGTGACCATGGCAGGGGGAGCACCTGCCGGCTGTGGTTATGTGGTGTGGGGAGCAGTCCTGGAGTGTGGTGAAGGGTGTGTGGAGGGGGTGGCGTGTGATGGGTGAGACATGGTGCAGGGAGCAGCCATGGCATGGAGGTGTGCAGGGAATGCCTGCTGGCTGTAGCTGCATGGCATGGGCAGCAGCCCTGGGGTGTGGCATGGAGTGTGTGGGGGGCGGCCATGGTGTAGGGAGTGGCTGCGGTGCAGGAAGCAGCCACTGAGTGGAGAACACCTAGTGTGGGAAGCAGCCACAGAGTGGAGAACGTCTGCGGGCTGTGGCTGCATGGTGTGGGCAGAGGACCTGGCTGTGCCCATGTGGCACAGGGAGCAGCCCTAAGGTGTGGTGCTCGGGGGCGTGCATGGCACGTGGGGGGCATGCCATGCAGGGGGGTGTAGCTACAGAATGTGGTGCGGGAAGCAACAAGACACCAACAAACTCGGTTGAGCGGTGTCCAGAGAACCTCATTGGAGGCCATGGTATAGTCTGCCATCTGAATGCACAAGGACTCTGGCTGACTGCTAACAATACCACCCTTTTACTGTGCCCTCTATTCAAGTCCTTTCCTACTGATTTTACTCTGTTTGAAAGAGTTTCACCTGAGGGACATTTACTGTACCACTTGCTCGTACTATGCCACCCTTTACCATGAAATCTCTTACTGGTAGTCATTTTAACACTATGAATGTACCAGGAAACAACAAGCAGCAACTTTTAGGGGGTACAGAGGTGACCAAAATTCTTTGATAACCTCTGTACCAGAGAGAGGTTTTCGATACAGACAGGGATTTTAGGATAAATGGGTCTTTGATCCCAGCAATTTGAGTGATGATTGCTATCCATCTGGTAGTGTCCAAGCATGCCGCAGGAAGCTTCTGCATTTTGAGCAGCCTAGCTGAATGTAGAATAGCTTGACATGAAGATATGTAATATAAGCAGTGATTCAGCCCATTCAGTGCCACAGCCCTTACACCAGTGGTCTTCAACCTTTTTATGGTGACTACCACTTTTTGTAAGTAAAGGGCACCCCAGGATCTACTGCCCTGCTCTGCCCCCTCCCCCCGCCCCATCCCCTGCCCTGCCCCTGGGACCCGCTCCGTCCCCTGCCCTCCTCCTGGCCTGCACCTGCTGGACAAGTCGCCTGGGCTCTGACTCCACTAACCCAGCCCGGCCTGGGCGGCAGGGGGCATGGCTCAGCCCAGCCACGTGTATCCTGCCACTCCTGACTGTGGAGCCTCTGACAGACTGAGATCAACTGTCAGAGGCTTCATGATTGACCCTGGTTTCAAGATCGACTGGTTGGTGACCATTGCCTTAGACTGTTCAATTTGCTGCTTCCCTTTGATATTTTGTTACAAACTCATCTGTGGCCTTCAAAACAAAGATAACAGCTACAATATCCCCTTCAGAAAAATCTTCAGTGCATACACATTGCCGCAACCAAAGAACTCACGTGCGTCACCATTAACAACAAAGACATTTCATCATGAACTCACCCTCACTCGTAGAAAGAGAATCATTTGCACAGATCAGTGCCAGTGTAAATAACAGCTGCCAAAGATCCATACCTCTGGGTTCTGCAATCATAAAAGAGACAATGAAATCAAAGAGATGATTTATAAACTTGAATTATTCCATTTCAGTACCATTTAAGCTAGCATCTAGTTTATTTCATTTTTGAATAACGTTAAACCAGAAGTTTATGAAGGTAGTATGTTATGATAATTTAGTGCTTTATGGGGCAATAAAATGTATCTTACAGTTTATGGGAGGCAGTAAACACTACTCTCAGAAACGTACTAACTGATGAAATGCGGTTAAAAGACAATAAGGCTTTTTCAGCACCTGGTCCATGTCTTGAAATCACTAGCACACATTTCTCCATGCAACCCTCTGAGGATGAAAGGATTAAATCTTGAACTCATTCTTGAAAAAGAGAATCCCCTTTAAAGGGGAAAAAATATATTCCCTTGGCAGTTCATACTTCTAGGAAGTTCTGCTGGTTTCTTCCCCGTGAGTACAAATGTGCATTGCAAGGCTGCCTAGCACATTTTTAGCACCACCCAGAACAAACATGTATCAACACCCTGATAATAGAGGGGTGGGATGGGCCATGTGAACCTGTGCCTTCAGAGATCAGGGTCAATTCCCTACTCTGCCACAGACTTGCTGTGGGACCCTAAGAAGGTCACTCAGTCTGTCCATGCTAAAATAGTGCTTCCCTACAGAGTTGGTCCGGAAGTTTCAGAAAACAACAGGATTGCATGTCAGAACTGAAATGTTTTGTGCAAAAGATACCAGTTTTCACTAACTTCACAGGTAACAAAGGCTACCAACTCACCCAGAAGCTGCAGATCAGCCCGCTATAAGGGCCAAGTAAGTACCAGAGATAACAGATACTATACATATTAGAAAACTGGCCCTTAAGTTTTAGGGATATTCCTGAAAAAAAAAAGTCATAAATATGTTACAGCGATTACCAAATGAATGCCATGGCTGACCAGCCACTTCAGTGCCAGCACCATGTCCTGTTTGAGACTCCGGAGTGGAGACCGTATATATCAGATACACAAGCTCAGGTGACTTTTAAGTTTTACAATTAGCACACATACTGGGTCATATTAATCCCCTCAGAACTTAGCCAGGATCTGAAAAGACAAACCAACAGAACTGTCTGCATCTGCCAGTCATTTGTTCTCCAGCTGCCTAAGCCAATGATTCTCAACCAGGGTGCCAGGGCACCTTAGGGTGTTGCCAGATCTTTTGAAGTGTTCCACAGGATGCGAGAAGATAAGCACATGAGCTAAGTAGCTAAATGGCAGGCTCATGCTTATCCCTGCTCGAATGATCTGCAGTGTCCCTCTGCAAGGAGGTAAGCACTGTAATGTAAATTAGTTTTTGAAACCGAGTGCCACTCAATTCACAAGAGTTATGAAGGCATACCTCAAGTCCTGTGAGGGGTGCCTCAAGTCCAAAAAGGTTGTGAATCACTGGCCTAAGCTCATAAGCATGCCAGTCATCCTCACATGCACCCCTGCCAATTCTAGTTCGTATAGGGTGGAGGGAAGTAAGGTTGGGAAAGAAGAGTTTCTTCCAGCCCAAGGACAGGAAGAAGAGTTGAAGGGCTGCATTGCCAATGGCTCACAGGAACAAGTGGATTTGTCCAAGTGGAACTCTTGTACAGGTCAAGCTGGCAGGAAGCCTTTCCTCGTAGGGCCTGCCCTATTGCTCCCTGATCATGCGAGTGGCCCTCCTCTGGACGCTCTCCATGTTGTCCACATCCCTCCTGAAGTGCGGCGCCCAGAACTGGACGCAGTACTCCAGCTGTGGCCTGACCAGTGCCACATAGAGGGGGAGGATCACCTCCTTGAGATGCATCTGTGGATGCACGAAAAGGTGCGGTTTGCCTTCCTGACTGCATCCCCACACTGCCAGCCCATGTTCATCTTGGCATCAGTGATGACTCCAAGATCCTTTTCTGCCTCTGCACTGATGAGAAGGGAGTTCCTCAGCCTGTAGGTATGGTGCCGGTTCTTCCTCCCCAGGTGCATCACCTTACACTTGTCAGTACTGAATCCCATCCTATTCTCATCCGCCCACCCCTGTAACCTGTCTAGGTCCAATTGTAGCCTATTCCTTCCTTCTAGCGTGCCCACATCCCCCCACATCTTAGTGTCATCAGCAAATTTAAACAGGGTGCTTTTTATCCCCTCGTCCAAGTCACTGATGAAGATGTTGAACAGTGCGGGCCCGAGGACCGAGCCCTGGCGAACCCCCCTGCCCACATCCCTCCAGGTCAAAAATGACCCATCCACCACCACTTTCTGGGTGTGGCCCTCCAGCCAGTTGGCGACCCATTTGACTGTGTAAGTGTCGACACCTCAGTCCCCCAGTTTTTTAATGAGAATGGGGTGAGAGACAGTGTCGAAGGCCTTCCAAAAGTCTAGAAAGACTATGTCCACTGCTACTCCTGCATCTAAGGATCTGGTGACCTGGTTGTAGAAGGCCACCAGGTTGGTCTGACAGGACCTGGCTCTAATGAACCCATGTTGGTTGCCCCTAAGCATAATCTCCCCTGCTGGCCCCTGGTTACCCCTAAGCATAACCTCCCCTGCAACCCCAGCGAAACCTGAGTCAGAAGCACCCCAGCATGTCCGGAGAGTTAACCAGCAGCAGAAAGCAGGTTAACAGCGGTCTTCCCTGTGAACCCAGGAACTAGTGTCAGGGGAGAGAAGATCAGGTTCTGGCAGACAGACATGGACCTGGAAGAAGAAAGGATGGTCCCAACGAGGGTAGTGGGGGCTGGGATAAATTGAGTTGGCCAGGGCAAAGAGGAGATTTGCCTGGCCTGCTGGAGGGGAAAAAAAAGAAAAACAGAACATAAACCTGGACGGGGACAACCTAGCAGAACCTGAACTTGTGTAGGGAAACAACTGCGATAAAGCCTTTTTGGGGGGGATTTGTTTGAATTCTGGAAACAAGACATAATATAGGCTGGGAGAAAGCTACCTCCCTTTTAGGTCCCTGGGGGAAAAGAAGGACCATTGGTAGGAAAGATCCCCCCTTTCTTTTGTTTGATCTATGTTTAATTAGGATTTATTTCATACACCTGGGGCTTCTAGTTTACAGAGGCTGAAATAAGAATGGAAGGGACAGAGAAGCATAGAACAGGACAAACCTGGATTATCACAGGAATGTAGAATCCTCGGGAAGAAGGAGTGGGAAGGACAACCAGGAAGGAAAGAGAGAGAGATAGAAAAAGGATGAGGGTAGTGTGATCTGATGAGTACAGCTAATGATGGGATCAATCAGGGAAAACGCAGGCCAAAGAACCTCAGAGTAAATAACCCAGCAGAGTTTGGGCAGAGACCCCACAGGCATCTCACACACCAGACCAGTGGAGAATAGCAAATGACCACCTGGAAGGAAAGGGGCAAGGTGCAGGGGAGGTGGAGCCAGGCGGAAGACTGCAGCCCTTCTGAATGGACCTCTGTGCAGAGAACCATCCATCCTTTCCTATATTCTTACAATATTAAGGTGTGGCAGAAGAGTGAGGAGGACAAGTCAGAGATCAAGGTAATTCTAACACAAAAGGGTGGGCAAAGGGCACCCATTCGCTCACACCCTTCAAAGAAACCCTACTGCTCCACAAAACTCTCCAGAGAGTTACTTTCCTCAATCCCACTTTCTCTTCTCCTAGCACTCCTCTCACCTTATTTCTCCCTAGATACAGGTCCATGACCTCTGCCATCCTCTTCTATTACCCTACAGGCTTCTTCTGATTGGATAAGCAGGTGAGGGAGAAGCTGAACTCTGGTGAACTTCCTGTGGTTGTACAGAATGGAACTCCATTTTGCTGAATCACAGGAGACTTGTAGTGCAAAGGGAGCTTCTATTAGGTCTCATTTCCCCTAAAAATGCAGCATAAATTCCCTTCTCACCCCACATAGATGCACTCTTTCTATCATCCTCCTAAAACTATCCTTGTTTCCCTCCTTTTCTGATGAAAAATGCACAAGGAAATTCCCATGCCATTAAAATAAACATGTTGTTAATGGAAATAAAGTTGCTCAAACATATTTAACACAGTGTGGCGGAGCACCTTTGGGGTGCTCGCCAAGTGGCAGGGGCTGCAGTAGGCTGGGGCAGAGCCCAGCAGGGAAGGCAGCCAAGTGAAGCCCCCCAGATATCATTCTAAGGGGGGAGCTGTGTGGCAGAGCACCTTTGGGGGTTCTCACCACTTGAGGGCTCTCACAGGCTCCAAGGGGAGCCTGCTTTGGAGGAGCAGCAGGGGAAACCTCCCCCAGGTACCATTTTAAGGGGGAAGGTGTGTGGCAGGGCACTGTTGGTGCCTGCCACTTTAAGACCTAAGCCAAGCAGCCAGCAGGTGCCTGATTGCAGCAGCCATTTTAGATTCATGGTTGCCTATATAAACAGAGCACTTTGCTGCTGGCAAGCAGGCAGCAACATGGCCTGGCTGCAAGGCTTTACATATCATCCTAGAGGTAAGGGCAGGAGTTGTAGGGAATGGATTGGAGGCTCCTGGTCCTGGGCATGACCTGACTGCACCCTGCCTGTAGTGGGTGGCCTCGTGAGGCTCTCAGTCATGCAGGAGCCCCTAGGAAATGCCAGGCCAATTATCACCCTGGTGAAAGGCGGGTAGGGGTGCCTTAACACTAGCTCTCACCTTTGGGTGGGTTTGCGTAAAACCGGAGGTAGTTGGGGGACAGGCACAGTTGCAGCCACCTGAGCCCTGTAGGGTGCAAGACCCCGAGGATGGAGGGTAGGGGCTAAGCATGGCTGCAGCCACCTGAGCCCTGTGCGGGGTGTAAGACCCTGAGGAAAGGTAGCTGGGGCCAGGCACAGCTACGTCCACCTGAGCCCACCGGGAAGGGAAGCCCTGTGGCCCAAGTGAGGGGGTGGTGTGGAGCCCCATGTGAGGGGGCAGAGATGAGGAACCCCAGTGATGGGGGAGGAAAACCAGAGGGCTGAGAGCCCAATATGTTTATATAGAGAGAACACAATGACGTGCTGCTCCGGGGGGAGTGAGAGTCTTTGAGACTCTGGAACACCAGTC